AGAGCGCAGTCCTGGGAACAGCTAAGATACTGCGCAGGACCCTCAAGCTCCCAGGCCTCTGGTAGAGGACCCGAGCTTGAAGGATAAACCGCCCGCAGGGGCGTGCTGGGTGTTTGTTTTTTATTTATATATATATATATATGTATATATATATATATATATTTTTTTTTTAGGGGTGCAACGATACACAAAATTCACGGTTCGATTCGATACTTTGGTGTCACGGTTCGATATTTTTTCGATACAAAAAAAATGTTCATGCCTTTTTAATTTGTCATTTATTAAATTATAAATATATATTTTAACACAAAAGTACAGTTTTTAAATTGAACCCTAACCCTTGTGCGTGTTGCTTTTTAGCTCGTCATATTGCAGCCACAGAAATTCTTTTGTCCATGAAACCATAAAGCTGCACTTTCTTTTTGCCTTATAGTCTGATTTGTCATAACTTCTCCGTTTTGTGGTAAGCTTTTCTTTGGCTGTCACTTCTTCACCCTGACCTGTCTTCTTTGGCTCAGCAGAACTAAAATATATATCTGTCTGTGAAGGTTCTCAGTCATCCAGGTCATCGTAGTGAAATATATATCCTGCCGCACTCACATAAGCTCAGCGATTCTCTGCGCGATCAACCTCTCACATGTTTAAGCTGCGGGAGATTTCACTTGTCATGTTTGCATAGTAAGCTAACAATTAATAAGACGATGTCAGAGGAATTGGTGCACAAATTATCATCACTCACAGATCAGTGCTGTCGCTCTCTATACACAGTTCGCGCGATTGCAAAGTGAAAGCAAAAAAACAAGCGCAAATTCAAACACGATTTCAATATGTCACATATTGACAGTGGCTCACCCAATGACATAATTACCCAGCTACATTTCTGAAAGAATGCAAAAGCATTGACATATATTTTTCCTTCCTACAATAGCCCGACAGGCAGGGCAGAGATAGCCCCGGGACGTCGGGCTAGCGATATTGCGAGCCCTGTATCTGATTGAGGAATCACTCATCTTTGGAAAAGAGAGTTTATTACAGAGAAATGTCTCTTTCCAAAATAAAAGCTATACTATCCGCTTCTTCTGGGCTATATTCTCAGCAGCATATTAAACATATCAGGTCTCCATAAGGAGAATCCTGTGCTAACAGCTGTCTAAATGACTCGGCTAAAGTTTGTAGCATGCATGCTTGTTGTTTTTGTCTTTGCACTAGGATGATGTCGGTGTAAATGTGCAGTCATATTCGTTGTGTTCCCACTAGTGCTTTCAGGTTAATCTCGTTGAAATAACCTTAACGCCACAACACGGCAAATCTCCGTTAACGAGCTACCCTATACAGAGGGGCTAGACGGCCAACACGTTAACGAGCTAACTGCGCTAACACACTAGCTCCCACCCATGTAATTGAGCATTGCATGGCACATCCAACATACTGTTTTACTTTAGTCCATGACTCGCTTACCTTCAGGGTCATACGTCACATGAAAACCAAAATAATTCCAAACGCCAGATCTGAATGAGGGTGGGGAGGTCCACTTCTGTCTCGCTAGCTTGCCCTGCGCTCTTCCTTCTGACCATGCTGTCTGTGTTGAGTGCTCAGTGAATCTGCGTTCGACTACTCCGCCTAGGCTGCACTCTCGAGCATATATATATATATATATATATATATTAGGGCTGCCACGATTTGTCGACTAGTCACGATTACGTTGACTATCAAAATCGTCGACGACTGATTTAATAGTCGACGCGTCGTTTGAAGCTTTGTAAGATCACAAAAGACGCAGGAATAAGTAGCAGGATTTAAGAGTGTAATAACGGACTGAAACAGAAGATGGCAGCACTGCATGTACAAGGATGCCAGCTGCCGTTAAACCCCGAAGAAGAAGAAGAAGAAGCAGCTGTGTCCCAGAATTCATAGCGCAGCCCAGCTCAGTTTCCAACAATGGCGGAAGCTAGTTAGTTTTAATATTACTCTTATTATTCTTTATGGGTCACAAAATAAACATTTAACATATTTTCAGCCGAGAATGTAGCTGTGTAAACCTCAAATATCGGCTCAGTTTATCAGGACACCACATATTTTCAAAAGCGCTCCGACGTTTTCGGAGACGTCTGTTACCCACTAGCTCGATAGCTAGCCGGGGGCTAGGTCACTAGCGCCGTGAGAACACCGGACTCCGGGCAAATTGTTTTCAAACCCACCGCCGTCTTTCGCTACTCAGGTTAAATATATATGAGTCACTTAGATAAATTAAAAATGTTGTTGTTTGGCTTTTTTTTTTTTTTTTTGTATTTTATTTGTTCCTGAGTAAATCGGTTTGTCTGAGATTAAAGTTATAGTTTTTACACAGCTGAATAAACGTCAAGCAGACAGCTGATTATCAGAAGTGTGAGATGCTGGAGAATATACTCCGTTGTCCTGTTATATTTTAGATAGCAAGGAGTTTATTAAACTTCACCGAAACAATCTGCAAATTTCATTAAAATTGAATAAACTATCATCTTGTCTTTATTTTTAGTTAGCACCTTAAAAGCTTAAAGCTGTAAGCTAATGATAGTTATATAAGAGCAGATGCTGCTGGTGCAATAAGCTGTAGTTTTACGTCCAGTGGATGATGATCTGATTAGTCGACTAATCGCATAAATAATTGGTGACTAGTCGACTATCAAAATAATCGTTTGTGGCAGCCCTAATATATATATATATATATAGAGAGAGAGAGAGAGAGGGAGAGAGAGATGGATCTGATAGAGCCAAACAAGACTTGGGTCATCACTAATACCTCTAAGATTAACACAGTGATGACTATGGCTAGAGGCATGCATTAGACTTTCATGTTGTCCATCTATGTACACTGATGGGGGGGTGGTATTGAATATCATATCCCAAATCAGAAGACAAGATTTTTTTGCCCTTCTTTGAAATTGTAAAGGACACTGGATTGTTGACAATTACATTGTTTTCAATTATGAATTCTTAAAAGTTCTAGATGGTGAAAGAGCTGGTGTTTTATTAGCGCTAAAATAAGAGTCTCCATCAAGATAAAGTTATGATGGCCCTGTGTTAAGTAATGTGAGCTTTGTAACATGATTTTTAGCTGCATGTATCTAGTTATGCTTTTAAATAATGCAGCCTGGAAACACACTTGAAAATCAAAAATAACAAAAGTAAATAACCAAAACTGTCATCCTTCACTTGTTTGTAAAGCTTTAATTTAAAAAGATAATAAGCATGTGTCACTAAAACTGTGATTAAATGGTAAATGGGGTGCTGCCTCTGTAGCACTTTTCTACTCATACTGGGCAAAAAACAAGTGACCTCTGTCAAATTGCAAGCGCTGACTTGTAATGTACAAAGAGTATTTTTCCACAACTAGGTCCAGGTGTTGCCCTTTCACAGATTTACAGGACTTGAACTGCATTTTTATGGGGGGTGGTACCTGAGCAGAGCACGCAGGAACCAAGTTACTTAAAACTCATTCATGTTCTCATGTGCAGTTAAGCAGGGTTACGTCTGAAAAAGTTCAAGCCTGAAGTGCATGTGTGAAAACAGCTAAATTTATTATGAATCTGGACAGACTTTGATGTAAGCTGCAACCTGACTGGTTGGTAAAGACAGCAACTCTGGAGACATCAAAGACTGAATGAAACTACTTGTTGTAATGTGACAGAGGCCACTTTTCATCTTTCTATTGTGTATATGTTTTTTCTTTTCTTTTTTTCTGCTACTGCACATACATGAGATTGTTTGACTCTCTTGAGTGCTTTGAGTGCTCAGTTGGAGTAGAAAAGTATAAGTACCAGTCATTTACCATTTAATCTCATTAGCCAGTTCACATGCTTATTACCATTTTGATTAAAGCATTAAAGACCAATGCAGGACAACTCTTTTGGGTTCACTAAAGCAGAACTGTTATTTTTGGTTTTCGAGTGTCAGTATATGAATGTTGGGAAATGCAGTTTTAAATGCAGTTATTTAGCAGCTTGACCATAGATGTAGCTAAAGCTCACATTACTTAACATCATCACAACTTTATCTTCGCAGAGATCAAAGTCCTGGTCAATTTAAATCGACAGATCCAAAGAATCAAAGTGATTCATCCGTACATCAAACAACTTTTTTCCTTGGCCGACACTCTTAAACCAGGATTTTGATGGATTTGTCTGCTATTGTCATGATATAGAGGGGTTTTTTAGCTGAAAAACACGTGGTCCAACAAGCTTGACAGGAGCACTATCAATTAGCTATTTAGCGCCATCGCCAGGCTAACATAGGCCAAGTGTTGCCAAGTGTTCAAGCTCTATATATTTTAGTGATTGGTTAGGATAAGTAGAGTTTCCTAAAATGATGCAAGATTTGTTGGCTGGACATATATGATGTGAACCTCTCATTCTGCTCGTTGGAAACCAGTGTGAGACGATTGAGTAGATCTGCTAGTAACTAGTAGAAAACTAGTAAGTGTAAAACTTACTAGTAGAGGAGTGTTACGAACTTGTATGTCCATGTGTTTGTTTGTGCAGGTGTTGTGTTTTTTTTCTATGTTAATTTAGCTGTGCCAGGGCCCTGTTCCGATTGGTGCGTGGATATACTGCCCCGGCGTGATTGGATCCAGCTGGAGGACCCGCCCATTAAAGTGTGCCTCGCTCATGTTATGGCCTGGCCCTAGACGGGTCGTAACATGAATTGGGGGCTCGTCCTCTGCCTTTTTCTGTGGGTTTTCGCGTGTGTTTGGTCTGTTGGCGGTTTTCTTGGGTGTGGGGGTGGTAGGTGTGTGGAATTATGGAGTTTTCTTTGGATGATTTTGTTACTTCGCCTTCATGGGATAAAATAGTGAAGTGCAGGAAGGCGGATTTGCTTATTATTGCTAGTTGTTATGATGTTCAAGTGTCCTATGGTGCACGTAAAGCGGAGGTTAGGGACGCTTTGTGTGCAGAGCTGGTGGAGCGAGGCATCCTTCCTGGCCCGAAGGCAGCTGTAGAGCAGCCTGATGGCGGGGTGTGAAGGTGGCTCCGGAGGCTGAGCCGGGGCCGCATGCCAAAGGGCCTGTTAAGGTGCTACCAGCCGAGGTGGACTCTGATGCAGCCGAGGCGGACTCTGATGCTGCTGAGGCAGAGACTGAAGCAGCTGGGTCTGGTACGGCCGGGGAACCCCTGGCGGGGCGGTCTACGGAGGATCTCCGTTTGACCCTCCGTATAAGGGAGGTGGAAACCCGTGCTAAAGAGCTTGAGGTACAAGCAATGCACCTCCGTGTCAGAGCTTTGGAGCTGGAGCGAAAGCCCTCCACATCTGCCTCTAGTCATCCTGGTACGTCCACCGCTGTCCCAACAGGTTTTGACATCACTAAGCACGTTAAACTGGTTCCCCCGTTTCATGAGGCCGAAGTGGATTCCTATTTTAACGCTTAGCGGCCGCGTTAAGCTGGCCGAAGGAATTTTGGCCGCTGCTGTTGCAATGCAAACTGGTTGGCAAAGCCCAGGAGGTGTGTACCAGTTTATCAATTGAAGATAGCCTGGATTATGACATCATGAAGAAGACTGTGTTGCAGGCATATGAGCTCGTCCCAGAAGCCTACCGTCAAAAATTTAGGAAGTGTGAAAAAACTGCCAATCAGACATTTGTGGAGTTTGCCCGTGAAAAGAGTCGCTTGTTTGAACAATGGTTGCAGGCCAGTAAAGTAAAGGATCTCGAGGGGCTGAAAGAGCTTCTTTTGTTAGAGGAATTCAAAAAATGTTTGCCGGACCAAGTAGTCATTTATCTGAATGAGCAAAAGGTGACCTCACTTGCTAAAGCGGCAGTGATGGCTGATGAGTTTACTCTCACCCACAAAACTATATTTTCAGCCGCTGTCTCACAGAATATCAGGGTGGGACAGGAAAGGAAAATAAAGTCACCAAAGATAGGACTGAAAGATAGACAGGAGGATGGTGTTAATCGCGACTGTTTTTATTGTCGCGAACCCGGACATCTGATCGCTGTCTGTCCTGCGCTCCGGAGGAAAGAGCAGCGCAAAGGCTCTAAAAATCCAGCGGGCGTAGGTCTCATCAAAGTTGTCCCTTTGCCTAAATCGCATTCCACTCTCACCCGTGATTTGCACCATGCGGATGTGGAAATAGAGCCACGTTTTAAACCATTTATCACGAAAGGCTTTGTTTCTGTGACGGGAGAAGAGAGGGATAAAGTGCCTGTTACTATTCTTCGGGACACAGGTGCGCATCAGTTGTTTATGTTGGAAAGTGTACTGCCATTGTCAGATAAAACTGCTTGTGATTCAGATGTGTTGGTTTGGGGAATTAAGATGAGCGTTCTTCGGGCGCCGCTACACAAAGTACATTTGCATTCGCCCGTGAAAACGGGGCATGTTAAAGTTGCTGTGAGTTCCCAGTTGCCTATTAAAGGGGTTTCATTTATTCTGGGAAATGACTTGGCTGGGGGAACAGTTTTCCCACCGCCTGAAGTGGTGGAAACGCCTATTTCTTCTGTCACTGATGTTGCCGCCCCTTTATCAAGTGTGTTTCCTGTTTGTGCTATTACTCGTGCGCAATCGCGCAAATTTGATGATGTTGTGGATGTTGCTGACACGTTTATGGCGACGCTAGACGAAAGAAAATCTCCCAGCCGTGAGAGTGGCAGAATAGCAAGCGGAAATGATGTGACAAAACTGATGCCAGAGCTGGATGAGAAATTGAATAGGGATGCATTGATAACTGCTCAGCAGAATGACTCATCACTGGCTCCCTGTTTTCTATCTGCAGCTAAGAGTGCAGGAAGTGAATCTCCCACTTCTTATTTTGTGCAAGATGGAGTTCTTATGAGGAGGTGGTCCTCTGACCGGTGTGGTTTGCCTGGTGCTACGCAGGTGGTGGTGCCGAAGCCACATCGAGGGCAGGTGCTTAGCTTAGCGCATGATGCCAGCATGGCTGGACATCTTGGGGTGAACAAAACTTATCATCGGGTGTTGCGCAACTTCTTTTGGCCAGGGTTGAAAGCTGATGTGGTGGCATATTGCCGTACCTGTAGCACATGTCAGATGGCGGGGAAACCTAACAGACCCATCCCACCTGCTCCGTTACATCCTATTCCAGTAATAGGTGAGCCGTTTGAAAAAGTAATATTGGATTGTGTGGGTCCCCTGCCAAAAACTAAATCCGGACACCAATACATACTTACAATAATGTGTTCAGCAACAAGGTTTCCGGAGGGCAATTCCGCTACGCACGCTGAAAGCAAAACCGGTGATAAAGGCACTACTTAAGTTTTTCTCTACTTTCGGGCTTCCGAGGGTTATTCAAACAGACAAAGGAACGAATTTTACTTCAAAAGTGTTTGCACAGGTTGTGGAGGAGTTGCACATAAAACATGTAAAATCCAGTCCATACCACCCGGAAAGTCAAGGTGCTCTGGAGAGATTCCATCAAACCCTCAAAGCTATGCTGCGCAAGTTCTGCGCAGAGTCGGATAGAGAATGGGATGAGGGTCTGCCGTTATTGTTGTTTGCCGTCAGGGAGACCACTCAGGAATCCTTGGGATTCAGTCCAATGGATCTGGTGTTTGGACATGTGGTTCGCGGTCCCCTCCGCCTTCTGAAGGAGAAGTGGTTGTCAGAAACTTCTGAAACCCAGCATAATGTTCTGGATTATGTTAGCGGACTTCGGGAAAACCTTCACCTTGCATGTCAGTTAGCTCGAGAAAATCTGTCACATACGCAGGCAAAAATGAAAGCTCGTTATGACAAAAAGGCTGTCCGTAGAAGTTTTCAGCCGGGAGAGAAAGTGTTGGTGTTGCTGCCTGTGGTAGGGTCCAGTTTATTAGCTCAGTTCGCTGGCCCATATGTGGTGGAACAGAAACTCAGTGACAACAATTATGTGATCCAGACCCCAGACCGCCGGAGAAAGTCTAGGGTTTGTCATATAAATATGTTAAAATCGTATCACTCGAGGAGCCCTTCTGGTGCGCCGTCTCCAGTGTGCACCGCTAGTGTTGTTTCTCCTTATGAACCCTCTGATGACGGGCTGCTCCAGAAAAGTGAAGCACTGGGTAGCGGCCGATTGAAAAATTCGGAGATCTTAAACGATATAGAAACATATTTAGTCCACTTGTCTGAGCCCACTCGGGCTGACATCACTGATCTGATAGAGGATAATATATCACTCTTTTCTGACCATCCTCGTCAAACTGCGGTCCTGTGCCACGACATTGACTTGGAAGGACATAAACCGATTAAGCAGCATGCCTATCGAGTGAACCCCGTGAAAAGAGCGATAATGCAGAAGGAAGTTGACTACCTCTTAGATCACGGTTTAGCCTTTCCGAGCGCCAGCGCATGGAGTTCACCGTGTGTGCTAGTACCAAAACCTGACAACACTCCTCGGTTTTGTAATGATTACAGGAAAGTTAACGCTGTTACCAAACCTGATTCATTTCCTCTTCCTAGAATGGAGGATTGTATTGATAGAGTGGGATCGGCATCTTTTGTAACCAAACTTGATCTGTTAAAAGGTTACTGGCAAGTACCTTTAACTCCCAGAGCCTCTGAAATATCTGCTTTTGTCACGCCAGATCATTTTCTCCAGTACACGGTTATGCCGTTTGGGTTGCGTAATGCACCCGCTGCCTTCCAGCACCTTATGGCCAAAGTACTGGCGGGCGTGAATAACTGCGATGCCTACTTGGATGATGTCGTCATTTACTCATCCACCTGGTCTGACCACTTACAAACACTCTCTCTCGTTTTCAGCCGTTTTCAGAAAGCCTCGCCTTACACTAAACCTAGCCAAATGTGAATTTGGCAGAGCCACCATCACATATCTGGGAAAACAGGTGGGTCAGGGACAGATACTGCCGGTGACTGCGAAAATACAGGCGATCATTGAGTTCCCAGTCCCACAAACGAGAAGGGCGCTGCGCCGATTTCTAGGAATGTGTGGTTATTACAGGGGTTTTTGTAAGAACTTTGCCACTGTTGTCGTTCCTCTCACCGATTTGATCAGTCCGGTGAAGCCTTTTGTGTGGACGCCTGTTTGTCAGACTGCTTTCGAGTCTGCGAAAGCATTACTGTGCAGTTCCCCTGTTCTTACGGCACCAAATTTCATGTCCCCTTTCAAGCTCGAGGTTGACGCTAGTGCGGCTGGTGCAGGAGCTGTCCTTATGCAGAAGGACCATTGCGGCGTGGATCGCCCAATTTGTTACTTCTCAAAAAAATTCAACAAACATCAGATGAACTACAGTACTATTGAAAAGGAAGCCCTTGCCTTGTTGTTAGCCCTACAGCATTTCGAGGTGTATATCGGATCCAGCTCTATCCCTGTTCAAGTGTTCACTGACCATAACCCATTGGTATTTCTCTCCCAGATGCAAAACTCAAATCAGAGACTTATGCGTTGGTCCCTTCTTTTGCAAGACTTCAACCTGCAGATCAAGCATAAGAAAGGGACAGAAAATGTCATCGCGGACGCCCTGTCGAGAGCAATTTTGTAGTTCAGGAATTAAACAATAGGAGGATTGTTTAATTCTTATGGAAGGGGGTGTTACGAACTTGTATGTCCATGTGTTTGTTTGTGCAGGTGTTGTGTTTTTTTTCTATGTTAATTTAGCTGTGCCAGGGCCCTGTTCCGATTGGTGCGTGGATATACTGCCCCGGCGTGATTGGATCCAGCTGGAGGACCCGCCCATTAAAAGGAGTCTGGAGTGCTACAGCGGGAGAGGTCCTCGCGTTTCTCCTCATCACCCAGCAGTAGTCCTGTGGTAGCCGCTTGCTGCAGTATACGCTTGAAAGTTGTGGAAGTGGAGTGGGTAGGGGTGAGCTGCCGTTTCTTTTGATCACCCGTTTTCTCCTGTTTTGAGTTAGTTAAGGAGGTCAGACTCTGTCTTTATTTTTGACTTTGTTTTGGTAAGGTCAGGGGTGCGGGATTTGTGTAGGTTTGTTTTGTTTATTGTTTTGGCCTTGGCTCACCCTGAAGTGTTGACACTCCCGTTTTGGTTCTCTTTATTTACATTGTAAATAAATCACCTCATATCTAACGGATTTGTTTCATGTGACTGCTTGGGTCTTGGGGGGGAAACGAGTGCCTCGCTCATGTTATGGCCTGGCCCTAGACGGGTCGTAACAAGGAGTAGTAGAGGAAGATGACCTTACTCTGAGCATCCTTCTTTGCATTACCTTCATGGGGCTCGAAATTCTTGTGTTACTAAAAACAAAATACAGGACGAAGTAAACCAAATCACTTATCTTTCTCCTCATCTTCCACTTGACACTGTGATGCCTGTAAATAATTTTTCTGTTGGAGTCTATAATTATACTTGACTGCTGTAATCACATAATTAAACACTCGCACGTTGATTGTCAAGCTGTGGATGGAGTGGGAAAGAGAAATGCTCTTTTGAATGAAATGTCATGCAGAGAATATATGCCTGCAGTTGATTATTATATTCAGATGGGCTTTGTAGCTGTGTATCAACTGTGGTTTTCTGAAACGTTTCCGCCTTTTAATTACAGTGCCCTCATCTAAGTTGTCGTTTGTAGGTATTTGTATAGCCACTGAGTTGTGCAAGGGCTAGTGTTACTCCCACATTAAGTTTTTAAAGCTATAACCTGTCAAAATTTGTACGTTCGGCATGTTGTTTCCTAAAAACAATCAATAAATGAAACCCTCAGGGTTTAGTAATAACCAATATAGCCTTTGTTATTGTACATTTGCTTCAGTCACCTATATAAATAAATCAGAAAAGTTGTACTATACTCCACAGCCGCTGACATTTTTATAAACTGCGATCATTTCGTTCTTTTCTCTAACTTCTACCTTCCTCCTCCCTCACAGCCGTGGCTGGGGCTGGTGCCTCGATGATGCCCCGGTGAAGGATAGGTTGTCTCTATCTACGGTGCTTCCCGGCGTTCTGTACAGTGCTGTCCATCAGTGTCGGCTCCAGTATGGATCAGGATCCCTGCTCTGTGATGACATGGATGTAAGATTCTCTAAAATTACACAATTAAATGATAGTCTTTGTCCCGTAATCCTTAAAAATGTTCTTATGATGTTTTTGATCAACCCCAAAACCTTAACGACTGTTCCCTGATTCGGTAAGAGCTTTTAGATCTTCTGTTCTTTCTTGACATGAGTTTCTTTTCTATGCACTATACATCCATCTTTTTCCTTGGTTTTACTGTCTTATTTCTGACAAATTTTAAGGACATTAAACCACAATAGTGTGATTTAAAATATTACCCCACATAAACTGACTTTTGCAATATCTTTGGCCATTCCTCAGAACTGTCTGTCGGCTTGAATTAAACTAAGAGAACATATAAGGAAAACATTCTCCGCTCTGCACCAATTTCTGCGTTTCTTTAACCTCATTCCCCTGAGTGCAATGAAATAACAAAATGTTAATTCCAGCCTCACAACAACCACATAAATGTGTTGATTACAGTTATAACCTTTTAATAACACACAAGGCGAAAAAATAGCCTAAAGAACTAATCTAAATGGACTAAACAGCCATTTTAAAATAACTGTGGTATCAGTCAGTTTAATATTTATTGAGTTCTTCCATGTGGCTGCTTTAATTTTGTGTCCACGACATTTACGTTGTGTACACATACATACACTACCGGTCAAAAGTTTTAGAACACCTCAATTTTTCCAGTTATTTATTGCAAATCAAGTCGTTCAAGTCCAATGAATAGCTTCAAAGCTCCAAAACTTCAAAATAATTTACATTTCTGAATCATACAAAAAGGCCTTTTTCAGGGAACGCAAAATATGTTAACAATTTAAATCTGTTCTGCAGCAATGGAGGCTGATCAAGCCTTGAAAACTGGCGCTACTAATTCCTACAGGCACGCCAACTTTTCTGGATTACTTACAAACCCCTCTGTCTGCATAAAGGCAGTGTGGCAGCACACCGTGGTACCATACCCTCGTGAGCATCAGTTGAACAGTATTGTACTGCAGGAAAGTAGTGTGTTGCTACAAAAAGAAGAGAAGACTGAATCTAACATAGTGTGTCGCTGATAGTGCATAGACAAGGTGAGTCCTTCTTCTGTTTGTACCTGACCTGACCTTTTGTTTTGGTTTCCTTGCTTCTTAAGTTATTTAACACTGACCAATGAATCATTCAAGTATACAAAGGCTGAACCAGTGTTGTCTGTGCATAACAGACAACCTAACAGAGAACTTGGTATATCACTGCATGATGTCCAGTGGGTCTTTAAAAGGATTTGAGGAAACTGGACTATTGGAGGAGAAAAAATAAAGTGGAAGGCCTAAAAAAAATATCTACAGTAGATGAACAATGTAGTCTTGTTCTTGAGACATGGGAACAAATTCACAAAAGACCTGACACAGGACCTCAATTCAATTCAATTCTATTTATATAGACCTGAGAAATGCATCTGGCTCTTGAATTTATCCATCTACTGTTCACTGAAGCCTCACCAGAAATGGTCTCAGTGGAAGGGAGGCTGTCAAGAAGCCATTCATAAGGAGGGGAAACTGGGAGACGAGGCTGAGGTGTGCTAATTATAAAGGACTGAAAATCAATGGCTTGAGCTTTTTGTACTTTGCTTCTGTTTTTTTAACCTTTAATTTAGAACCACAGCAAGTGCTATATTTTTCTATTTCATTAACACTGGTAAAGCCAATTTATCTAACTTTGGTAAGGAAAATAATACATTTATGCTTTTATTTAGTCAGGGAACACATGAAGACACAATAGTGGAATGACATGCAGCAAATGATCCAGCCAGCAGGGAAGTCTTGCTCCTTTGGGCATTTGTGTGTCCGGCACTCACTTGGCATTGTTTCCCTCCCACCTTTTTTGACAAAGAGGAAGAAAAAAACAGCTCTTCATGGGGAGATTTTTTTGTGCAAAATAAATGTGATGTATTATTTGAGTCCTTCAAAGTTTAGCAGGGCTGCTGTTCTTTATGTCTGGGAACACATATAAATAAATCCTATACAGCCTCAAGCAACAGGTTCTTGAAAAGACTGGACAGATGAGGACCACACACATGCATTTTCTTTATACGAACAATGCAAGAGCAGTAAAGTGTGTGGATTTTACAAGCGCCATCCTGACTGGAAAAACGACTGTGGGAGGCCTAGAGATTTACAACACCTACAGCCTACTGTTATGAAAATTCAACAAATCCCTTTTCTTTTTTTACAGCTTGTTTACACAGCTCTTGGAGTGCCCTGAGTTTTCTTGTAATCACATGCATTAATGTTAACACTGACAGACTTTTCATGGAATGACTGCTGTTTATAAAATGGTATATTTAGAGGAATCTGGGGCCACCTAACGCATGAAATGGTCTGTGTTTTTAAATATTAAATTCATACTTGTTTATTATACGATATCAACACACACAAAAATGCACAATATTTGTCACTTGTACTTGATTTTGAGTTAAATGTTTCCTTAAAAAATGTTTTAGTTGTGCGGTGCAAATCAAACCTGTTCTGGCATCACACATTTGAGGTTTTGGGTTTTTAGACCTTTCAAAGTAGTTCGGGTCATTCTCAAGGAAGTCTCAATTGCTTTGAGATAAAGACATATACATACATATACATTACATATATTGCTCGATTCAGACAGATTGAATAATTTGAGAGGTTGCTGGGGGGGTTTTTGTATTGACTCTCTGCGCTTTTTGTATGACATTGCATGCTGAAAGCTAAACGTGGCGAAGTCCAGGATTCTAATCCAGGTTGTATTTTTGAAAGCGCAAGTCTTTCAAATTTCATCCATTAAGGGATTATCAGTCGCTGTCACTTTTCCATTTCTCTTAGAAGTTTATCTCTGTGTTGAGAATTAATTATGCATGCCTTTGTTAGTCTTTCCTTGGTTTTAACTGTGACTTAACCAGGTAAGAACCTGAGTGTTTCAGAAGCTGAAATCTCAGAAATGTCTACATCATAATCGTGTTGTCCACATATTCATCACAAATGTCAAGAGATGCAAAGGGGAAAGGGTCAAGACAGTTGGACCAATCAGTCGGGGACCTCCTAGATATTTTTGACCTTTTGGTGTGTTATCAGCTATAAATTTCCACCTCTGTAGGTCTTTGGATTGATTATTTGTGCAAATGCAGGTCAGAGTTCCTTTCACACTGTCAATCAGAGCATACAGCATGACCAGCATTACAGAAGAGTTAACAATTCTGGGGAACACACTCACTTGTCAGAGGCTGGCTGTGAAGCTGAACATGTTTGTACAGGAAATATGATGCTGTCGCTATAGAGGATGTTCAGCTTAGCTGAAATCAGGGTTGATCAGCCAGATATTTCTAAGGCTCATTGATTTTTATATCTGATCAACATTGGAGTTCTGAGGATTGCTTGGCCGAGCCACCTGATTAAGAGTTCTTAGTTTTTGGACCAGGCAAACAAACATATTTTAATAAGTCAATTATAATTTAGTTTTTTGGGTTTTTTTAAGACAAAGTCAGGACATGGACATCAGGTTAACTCTCAGTAATGGTATTGTAAATTCATTCAGAAGTATATGATGCATAATGGATGACAGAGTGAAAGAACAGAAATCCGTTCATATAAGGCACTGTGGTGCATTTCTAGAAGAAGTCGATATCAGGCATCCCTGCTGGATAGCTGCAGCCGGTAATCCTCATCTGATCTGCCGTGTCTGAAGAGAGGACACATCTTATCACTCAGAGCAAGAGCAAACATTAAGCTTTATGAGTGGCTGTAAGCGTCATCTATCGTTATTAATAATATTATTTTGAACTACAGTTAAAAATATGGATATTTGGCATATAAGATAAGATGCTAGCAACTCCAGTTACTCATAGAAGAGCATCAAACACGCATTATCTGCAAGGCAATATGAAAATTAATCAACATTCTTACATGCAACATTTTCAGTAAAATGCAATAGTTATGCCTGTCCACTATTTTTATACAGTATTTACTTGTGTGATGTACTCTAAAAATATATGAAAAGCAAGCAAAAAAAAAAGTGCTGTGGGTGTGAGATATTAATCTTTATTTGCTCTTCCAGAATGTATGCAGCACTCTGTGGTGCACTGTGGGAACAACCTGCCACTCAAAGCTGGATGGGGCTGTGGATGGAACAAGTTGTGGGGAGGACAAAGTGAGTTTTTCCTCTCATGACCGAGACAGGAAGATGATCGTGATGAGATTGCTTATATTGGTGTTGACAACTATCAGTTTTTTATATCTAGGAAGAAGAGTTTTGTATCTGGGTAGTCTTTTCTGTTTGCAGTATTGATTTGTATCTTTGTTTGACTGAGAATATTGGAGTCAACATATGGAAACAGGACAGTCTGATTGGTGAAGCATCCTTAGAAAGTCAACGCCCATTCCTGCAAATAGTTGTTTAAATTTCTATTCCTCAAAGAAAGGAGTGTAAAAGCTATACGCGTGAATTTTTTTACTGACACATCTTGTGTCATATTCAATGTAGTAAATAACACTAAATCAATGGAGCAAGAGTACTCCCACTTTTCCATCATCCGCATTACTTAGAAGACAAAATACACAAGAGAAAACTGAAAATGTTGAGTTCAAACTGTCTTATGATCTTACCAGAACAAAACAATGGAACTCTTTCTTTTGTGCTCATGTATTTAATGATGAAACTTTTGTGTCCTTTGTCATTAGTGGTGCTTTGGTGGGCAGTGCGTTGCAGTTGGATATTACCCTGAGATTATAAATGGCGGCTGGGCGTCCTGGAGCCCGTGGTCAGCCTGTTCGAGGACCTGTGGTGTTGGTGTCCAGAGCGCTGAAAGAGAGTGTGATAACCCAGTGTAAGACTTCTAGATATTTATTTAGTGCATGCAGTCCTGATATTTTCCTTTTTTGTAGAAGAAAAGAACACAAACACTGATCCTTTGATTAAATTTAAAGTAAGCTGTAGGTGTTTATATGCCGCACGGCTATAACACAGCTCTTGCCTGCACGTCTTCCTCCTATTCTTTCTTTGATTTTTCCTGCCAACAAAAGCAAAAATGCCCAAAAAAATACTATTTAAAAAAATTACATCATGTTTTTATTAGTAGAGTCCTGTAAAACAGAGTGTTGCTTGTTTTTACCAAGAAGACACACTTTCAGACAGTAATGAGTAAAATGAAGAGGCGAACCGATTCTGAGCAAAAAATAAAATAATAACAAAAAAACACCACAGTGTAATTTGATTGATGTGTAAATAATGAAAGTAGCAGCAATAATTCACACATTTTCATTCTCCTGTAGCCTTCTGTGGATTAATTTGGAACAAAAGAATCCAAACAATACATCATACTGGATATATATGCATGCCTTTATTATTAGGGTAGTAGTTACTTTAGATTAATTCAGGTCATGCATTATATCTGGTTATGCTACACAGTAATAAAACAATAATCCTTGTTCCAAATGCTGACTTTGAACAAAAAAAATAAACAAGAAAAAATTACTTTAATTAGTTGTATTAACATCAAAAGGATATTTTCATGTTAATGGCATTAAATGTTAGGACTCAGTGTGTGGACACCTGCTGTGTAACTCTGTAGCGGTTGTTTGTACATTGCGTACATTTACAACAATGATCCTCATCAGTCAGATCTCTGTGTCAGTAATACTTAACAGCTGTAACTAATTACTGAAGTTATACTGTTGCCATATGGCTAAGTGCACACATAGATCCTGTAGGTAACCTTGCGTAGCTGCAGTAAACCTGGATCGCATTCTGGTGAGGATGAGCTCGTACAGGCAGATCTGTGTGTGACTCTGCAGAGTAAACACAACTTCTGAACTCTGTGAAGTGATTTAAGGATCCGGTTCGATACCGAAATGTAGAAAAGTCTTGATGTTAAGGCTTTGAGCTCTTATTTGACCTGAGATGGGTTTGGGCAGTGAGGCAGAGTGAAACTGAAGGTGAAGGCATGTGACTTTTCAACCCTACACATAAGACGAGCAAAGACTAGTTCTGTATAAGTAGGAAAAATACATGGTGGAGCGATTTTGTTTTTTTCTTTGTAAAAGTAAAAAATATTTTTGAACTCAAATAAAATATAATTATCAAAATTCATATGCAGGCAACTGTTTTATATAAAATTCTTATAATATGTGTATTTATTGTAAAGTTACGTTGAAACCAAGCACACCATTGTTTTTCTTGTGACATTACCAATAAGTTTGATGTGTCACATGGCCCTCTTCCTATTGGAAAAACAAAAGTTGTATCCAAGATGGCCGACTTCTAAATGGCCACCATGGTCACCACCCATCTTGAGGAGTTTGCCCCCTCACATATACTAATGTGCCACAAGCAGGACTTTAATATCACCAACCATTCCCATGTTATTACGGTGTATCCATATAAATGGCCCGCCCTGTAGTTTTGCATTTATAGCTGATCTAAAAGCTCTCTATGTGCAGCAGATCAGTTTCATGCTCTATAGGTGATCTGGGTTAAGCTGCGTAATTTCTTTTAAATATATAATTGAATATGTAATTGTGGAATTGAAAATCCAATAACTGGAATATGTCAACAGGATGTCAGCAAATGTTGTAATGTCAGCAAAGGATGATGTCATGTAATATTCCGATAGACGATAAACGTAATTAACTGCAGAACCCCAGTTCTTACAGTAGTTTCATTGCAAAGATTTAAACATGCAATGTTTTTGCTATTCACCAAAACTGAGAAACATATTTGAAGCTCTGCTAAAGCCTGGCAATGAAAATGCAAATAAGTGCAGCTTGAAAAAGTATATTCTGTACATTTGACTGCTTGTTTCATAAAATTGGACAGGTGAACGATCTTAGGGTGATTAGATAAAAGTATAAACTTCCTTTTTATGCCGCGAACCCATAATTGTTATTCACATGTTTATGTGGCCTATTCTAATAGGCCTTTGTAATGTCTAAATTTACCCGCTGCTTGTCTACTGGTTCTGTGCTTCAGAGACAAATGCTTCCTATGCTTGTTCAAAAAAAAAAAAAAAGTACAAAAGCATTCAAATAACATTGTTCCCTGTTCTGTAGTCCTAGGTACAGAGGGAAGTATTGTCTGGGAGAGCGACAGAGATACAAGATCTGTAACACCACACCTTGTCTTCATCACCTGCCCACGTTCAGGGACATCCAGTGTAGTCACTTCAACAGTCAGCCATACAAGGGCAAGTTCTACAAGTGGGAGGCAGTCATCAACACGGGTGAGCGGATTAAATTTGAGTCAGCCGCTGTTGCTTCTGTTTTTTAAATTTCCATTTTCACGCCAACACTTTGTTACCGCTTCTCTCTCTGAAAACAGTGAACCCCTGTGAGCTGCACTGCCGTCCACTGAATGAAAACTTTTCTGAGAAGATGCGCGATGCTGTCATTGATGGGACGCCTTGTTATGAAGGCAACAAAAAGCGAGATATATGCATCAACAGCATTTGTAAGGTATTAAAGCAATACAAGGCATTCTCTATATCTATCTATCTATCTATATATATCTATCTATATCTATATCTATATCTATCTACACACACACACATACATACATATATAGTCCTCAGGTTTGAAGGTGTTTCTTCTTTTGACTGAAAAAACTTTGTATTGATTGATGGGAATCTTTTTTCTTCTGTTGCGTTTGTGCTTTGTCGCTCATGCAGTAAACTGAGTTGGTGCTCGTCTTGTTTTCTCTGCTGGCGAATTTTGTACATTTGACATTCTGGGTCACAATAAGCATGCTGATTAAAAAAAAATAGAAAAAGAAAGAAGGAAAGACGGGGAAACAAATCTGGAGGCTGTTATCTTAAGATAGCAGCCTGTTCTTGCCTATCGCCCTGGGCTAAAATGCCAGTCATTGAAACAGACACTATTTGGGTACCGAGTGGACAGCAGTCTCTGACTTCATGACATTTTGTGACATTTTTGTCACACACCCACACTCTTTGTCGAAGATGACCCATTTGTGGTTTTTGATTCAAAAAAATTTATTCTCCATAACATAAAAAAAGTATTATTCACATAATACTTGCCCCCATATGTTACACCCCGGCCTAGGCAACCGGAGTGCAACACGAAAAAAGTAAAAAAAAAAAAAAAAAAAAAACCCACAGAAAAAAACCCCACTAAGGCTCTCCACCAAAATCCCAAAACGAAAGTATCCCATAACGAAAGTATTGACAAACCCATTCACAACTATTTACAACAAACTATTTATTTACAACACGGGGGGAGATCGCAACCATGACACACTGAAACACAGGGTTTAAATACCTAGACGGGGCAATCAGGAAAATGGACAACAAGAGGGAAACACAGCTCACCAGCTGGAAACACCGCAAAAAACACTCAGCTCACTAGCTGTACCCACACAAATGGCACTCTGGCCCAGAGCTCACCCTGCTCTGGGCTTAAATACCCTTAATTGCTGATGGGAGTCAGCTGCGCCGGAGGGAAAGGTGGCATCTCAGGTAGGAGGTAGTGGGACACGCCCACACAGGCACCCTCAGGAGAGAGAGAGAGGCCCTGCTAGGGCCGTAACACCCCCTCCCATAAATGCAAACCCATGGTTTGTCAAATTTATGTTAGCAAGGGGTGCAGATCTGAAGGATGGTTTTGAACATGAACCGGAGAAAGGATCAACCAGCGGCAGCTCAGGGTTAGTTGGCCTCGTACACCGATTACGGGGTGCTACCGAGCAATTGTGCTCCAGGTTTAGCCTTTCCGTAGGCCTGGCAAGCTTGTCAGTTTGAGAGCCACGACTGACCTTTCTCAAAATAGGCCCCTTTTGTGTTGAGTGGGCTTTCTGTTTGAGTGCCAGTTTGACACAATTGGCAACCACATGGCCAGGCTTGTGACAGAAAAAACACAGTTTGGGCCTAGATCTTAACACCATAACTGCATTTTCCTTCTTAGCTGGCCCACTTTTACCTGTCCAGGCTGCGCTATAGTGCAGAGGGATATCCTGTCCTACCGCCCTTGCTGTATGAATCAGCTTAAACTCATCTGCCAGGGTGGCAGCTTGCTGTAGAGTTGTAACCCTCTGTTCACTTAAATAAAGGGCCACAGACTTAGGAACAGAGTTTTTAAAATCCTCCACCAGCATAAGCTCACGTATGGACCCCACATCATTAACCTGGCTTGCCGCACACCACCTATCAAAGAGCCTCGTCTTCTCCCTGGCGAAGTCAAGATAGGACTGTCCCTGCGCCAACTCCAACCCTCGAAAATGCTGCCTATAGGCCTCAGGTACCAGTTCATAGGCTTGGAGGACGGCACTTTTGATCTTTCCATAAACCAGGCAGTCCTGCCTAGACAGACCAGAACACGCTTCTTGAGCCTTACCTGTCAACCGACACAGCAACATCACCCCCCACACATCTTGAGGCCACTGCAGTGCAGTTGCCAGGCGTTCGAACACACTGAAAAAGCTGTGAACACTGGATTCACAGAAGTCTGGAACCAGGTGAATGTTATTGCTCACAAACGAGCCTCTAGACACCTGTACACTAGCAGCTGTGTCAACCATTTTGGGGATGGTGAAGAGTTAGAAAAACACAACCTAAGTAAGACAATTAACAGACCACTACACAACTTACTTTAGCTGACCAACTTACCTCCCGCCACACACACGTTAACAAAACAACTTACCCAGTTCCAAAGCATTGCCCTGTCTATCTTCCGGAGCGTGCTGGGCTCGAGGCAACTTTAAAGGCAGAACTTCAGCGACCGGAGCCCTGAATTGCCTACCCCCGACAGAGAATTAATCCCCACCCAGGATTACTCCAAAAATAACAAAGGCAAAATAACAAAAGAGTGCCCGAAGGAGGAACTTAAAAAGCTCAGCTGGGCACTCACCTACCTTAACTGGGAAGTTATTAATCTCTAAAAGGTGCCAAAGCGAGATAATCAAAAAGAAAACCAAATCCAACACAGAACTCCCTTTTCAAATATCCCGGACGAGCCCCCACTTGTTACGTTCCCCTGGGGGGTCTAGGTGGGGAGGGGGAAGTAACAAATGTGACCGGGTCAGAAAAAGGAGTCAAGAGGCGAAACAGTTAAATAAAACAGTTTTATTGAAGTAATTCAACTAAAAGAGACGGACAAGCCGCTATCACCATAAAAGTAACACAAACAAAACTCAGGCATTGGTCAGTAATGCAAAATGTCAAAAGGAAAATGCAGCTCACTAGCTGACAACCACAAAACACAGCTCACCAGCTGGAAACACCGCAAAAACACTCAGCTCACTAGCTGTACCCACACAAATGGCACTCTGGCCCAGAGCTCACCCTGCTCTGGGCTTAAATACCCTTAATTGCTGATGGGAGTCAGCTGCGCCGGAGGGAAAGGTGGCATCTCAGGTAGGAGGTAGTGGGACACGCCCACACAGGCACCCTCAGGAGAGAGAGAGGCCCTGCTAGGGCCGTAACACTAGGAACACCACGGGAAGCATGTTCCCATCCTAAGTTTGGTCAAATTAATTAATTAAAAAATAAGTACATACCTTTTTTCAAGTATTGTATATAAATGCAACTTTGAGGTACTCAGTTTTCTGTTGCTTTCAACTCTTTCAGTAGTATTATTGTGCTATGAATATCTATTTATTTGCTATTTTGCCTAGCTTTAACTTTAGAATAGAATAAAATAGAATTGAATAGCCTTCTGCCATTGCACGTGCATAATTAAGAAAACTATTGAAATGCACAGTTAAAATTAGTTTATTGATTTGGCAGCTAAATCCATAAGTTAGGTAGCAAGATAGTGATGTAATTAAACATTAATGGATATATTATTTAATATATTATATAGATGCAATTCTGCATAATGCATGCTTAAAAATAGCCATGTTTTCTTGCTATTGTGTTTGCTCTTTTACCAAAGTCAAACTTTGTTTACATGGACTTAAGTAAGAGAACCACCTGATGCAGCTCAACTGCTGCCTTTTGTTTATCTGGATTACATGTTGTGCCTTCATTTGCACCATGCCAGAGTACAGTATCCAGCAAACCCAACCTAAAAAGTAAATAAATAAATACTACACTATAATATTAAGGATTACTTTGAGCTTCATTTGCATCATCTGCCCACTCCAAACAAGTCAAAGGTACATGAGACAGCCTCTGCTGTTTTTCTGGCTTTTAGAAAGCGATGTAACAGGAACTACCACAGTTCAAAGGGTCACCAAGTCACATTTGCTACATAATGTCCGTTATCGTGATACTGATCATTTTTGTGGCATGTTTCTAACAGAATATAGGCTGTGATTACGTGATAGATTCCACTGCTGTAGAGGATCGCTGTGGAGTGTGCAATGGTAACGGCTCCACCTGTACAACTGTGAGGAAAACATTTGAAGAGAGTGAAGGGCTGGGTATGTTGTTTTCTTTTCTGTTTTTTACATTAACCCTACTCAAAAAAGTTATTTTGACATATCACAAAGATGTGTAAAAAGAACAGATGTAAGAAATCAAAAGGGATGATGGGTAAACTGAGTCGAGCTGTTTCTGTTTCAGAGTTCAGGATTTATTTGTTGTTGTCTTAACATATTATTCCACAAAGTCTTTGCTGTGGGAGAAAAAACAGATTATAACCTCCCAAAATAGTATGTTTTTTACAGTTGTAACATTTTTGAATGTCTTTTTTGTGGATACATCGTTTAAAACACCGCGTATCAGAATACTTGTATTTCTATTTCACAAAGATTGTTCTTTCACTAAAATTTCACGTCTTTTTAGGCTATGTAGACATTGGACTGATCCCAGAGGGAGCCTGGGACATTCACATTGAGGAGTTGGGAGCAGCTGGAAATTTCTTGGCACTCCGAAGTGACAATCCCAGCAAGTATTTCCTGAATGGTGGCTGGACGATCCAGTGGAATGGAGAATACAAGGCTGCTGGAACAGTATTCACCTATGAGAGGACCGGACAGCTTGAAAACCTGACATCTCCAGGGCCCACTACAGAGCTTCTGTGGATTCAGGTATGAGTAAACCCACGGTTTTAAATGCATTATCCCTTTCTAAGTCATAGAGAAAGACTCTGTTTATTCCCATATGAAAAGGCTGGGAAACAAAGTCCTTTGCATTTTGATTACTTTCAAGTCTTTAAACTGCATACAGTTCTGCTCCAAATAAGCAAATGTAGTAACTATAATAATTTTTGTTGACACTGGAAATAGTCTATAGCTGTGCAAATAAGAGATGGTGAGGGAAGTAAAATTTCACCACTCAGCATAACTATTTTCGATTCTACCTTGCACCTCACTTTCTGTTGCCATGAAACGTTTCTTATTTCTCCTCTCGTGTGTTACAGCTTCTCTTTCAGGAGGCCAATCCAGGAGTGAGGTACGAGTACACCATCAGTCAAAATGTCTCCGAAAAGAACAACACCCCGCTGTCAGTTTTCTACTGGAAATACGGTTCGTGGACTGAATGCAGCGTTACTTGCGGAACAGGTAAGAGAAACAGCTTTGCTATACATAAGTGGGCAAACGTACGGGGAGTGAGAGAGATTATGGCGTAAAATGTGCCACATGCCACTATTTTTGCATGTGGAGGAATAGAGACCGTTTTGATGATGAAGGTGGAGCGTACTGTTCAAAATCTCCCATAGGCGTTTAATGATGTGAAGACCAGTGAAATCGATGATTTATATTCATCTTCAGAGTCATTAAACCCATGAGTGAGCTCTCGTGGAGACATTGTTATCCTGGACGAGGCACAAGAAGTGTTTCTTCACAGGATAAAAGTGGTTGTTCAGAACAGTTTTGTATTGATTTACAGATATTCTGCTCTAGCCAGCGAACCAGAGCTACATCCGCTCACTATAGGGGTCAAACATGAGGTGACTTTAATTTGTCACAAGACAGTCAATAGTTTCTGAGAAACAACAAAAGAATGAAGAATGATGAAGAAGCATTTATGCTGTTGCTTCACACATTTCAAATACAAAAATCTTGTTAAGATTAAAGAGGCCAGTATGATCAATTGTTTGCTATTTGTTGCCCTCGCTGTGCCGTCCTGTTTTCTCTTTTGCTTCTTATCGCTTTCCACTCTCCCGTGTGGCCCTGATGGATGGACCCCCTCCCAGAGCCTTGCCCTGCAGTTGATTTCGCCTTCTTAATTTCTTCTCACATCTGCTCATCTTCCTTTTGTACTGTAATGGCCTCATTTTTCAGTTGAGTGTCACAAGGTTGTCAAATTGTCGCATAATGAATCAAACTCATTTTGCAGGTTACAAAGATGAGACATACAGAAGATTATGGTGGAGGTGGAGACCTTTTTTTGTCAGCCTTGTGTAACCCCACTCAGGATTTATGCATTTCCCAATGTGTGGGGAGTTTCATAAAGAAGAAAGAAATGCCTTTCTGACAAGTCCTTTCATCCCTTTTACATATACTCGCGGACACCTTGACCGCGTGGTTCTTTTAGATTTGACATTGATTTTCTCAACTTTTAAAGCTTGTCGTAGCACTGAAGCTGTATTTTTATGTATCCAAGAAAACACTGAGGGAGTCGGTGGGGCTTTAGGAGTTTTAGTGCCCAGTTGGATGCTGTATAGCAGCGGTCCCCAAACTTTTTTGCGCGACGAACCGTTTTAATGTCAGACAATATTTTCACGGACCGGCCTTTAAGGTGATGCGGGTAAATACACCAAAATAAAATGATACAACCAAGACAAAAACTGTGGTATGCTGCAAATATAATAATAAACAGGAATTCGCTGTGTAATTGTGTAACTTTATCAGCAGTGTCCTCCTGAAATGCGCCAACAACATTGAGAGTAACGTCCTCCTCTCTGCCCCTTAATACTTTCTGGTCGCTGTGGTAACACGTAAATATTTCCTTCAAAATAAGACACAAAACTACAACACGGGAAAAGACCCAGGGAATCCGAGCTAACGATAAAAACCATGAAAACCATAAATTTCACATCTGAACCTCAACTCTCGTGGCCCGGTACCGAACGACTCACGGACGGTCTGTGGCCCAGGGGTTGGGGACCGCTGCTGTATACCATAACATTTAAACCCCAAATGTCACTTGTCAGTTGTATGTCACCATGGTGGCATGGTTGTTGGCAATATTACCTCACAGCAGTCAGGTCCTGTGTTTGAATCCACCATTTGGCTGAGACCTTTCTGTGTGGACTCTTCGTGTCTGTGTGGGTTCTCTCTGCGTAATCGGGTTTCCTCCCACAGTCCACAGACATCCAGCTAGTTGGGTTTAGGTTTATTGCTGATTCCAGACTGCCCGTCAGTGCGAATGTGGGCATGAAAGGTTTTCTGTCGTTACTTTTTTTTGTGTAATTTTGTTGTTGTTGTTTTAAAGTCACTACATAGTTAGCACCAGTCTGCCTCTGGTTTTGGATGATCTGGTAACAAGATTGAAGTTCAGATTGGTTAGTGTTAGATTGTAACATAAAGATTAAAGCTGGGAGATTTTTTCGATACCAGGTGTAGAGTTTCTGTGTTTACTTCTTTGTGTGTTTTCAGGATTGCATCTTTGGTATTTTCATGTGGTTTACTTCATTCCTCATTTATGTAACTCTTTATTTGTCATATAGCTCTTTAAATGTTGTTTTAAATATGGATAAAAATGACTCTATCCCTCCTGACTTCTGTTTCTGGAAAGCACCAGTGTATGTCTTCTTTTTCAATAAGATAAAAGGAAATGAAAATACGTAATTGAATGGTGTTCAAAGTTCAAATCCATTTTAAACTGCCGAATGGGTATAACAACAAGCTTCTGCAACCCCTAAAGCTTGTCCAATTTTGCCAAGTAGTCTCAGTGTTTAGATATTTCTTTCCTCTTCTTTTTTCAGGCTTTTATTTTATTAGACATCATTTATCTGTATAACCTGGAAATCTGTATTAACCTCCCAAATAGAGGTGTTGTTTTGATCTTGAAGATCAGTCAGAGCCTTTTCAATGATAGTGAAACTAAATCAGTGAAACTGTTGTCCTGTTCTCGGAGACAAATGAAAAATAAGATTTGACTTTGCTTTCAAATGCATTTTCAAGAGTGATGGCCTTGGATGAATTTAATCATGCCAATACTTGTAACAATAACAAGCTTCACCGAGTGTCTTTCATTACTGCCTTTGTTGATCCTTTCATAAATATCACTTTACAACCACCAGCGAGGAAATTCCTATTGAGCCTCGCTTCAAGTAAAAACTGCACACAAACCAAATTGTGTTCCTTTACTAAAGCATTGATAATGCTTTATTGTTTAGTCTTTTTGTTTTGTTTTTTCAAAGAGGACAATTTTTTATAGCATGGTGACTCAGTGATAAATATCGCCGCTATGCAGGAAAAATGTCTGAGCCTCACGATATAACAGCGCTCTTCTTAATGTGGCGCTTCCATGTTTTCCTTGTGTTTGTTGACCATTTCTTCCCAGAGTTCAGTTCGCTCCTGGCTTTAAACCATGATTCATTTTCCATCAGAGATATTTGGATGCCACTCAGTTTCTTCATCCTGATCACCAAAGCTGAAACATCTGCATATGTTGATGGAAATCATTTTACTGAGTGGGCTGTCTAGACTTGGTGGGATTCAGAGATTTGGAAGTGAAAGGCTTAATTCTGAAAATGCCATAAGGGCAGCAGCAGCAGAAGTACAGAAGAGCTAATACAATAACCTCATCTGCTTTAGTATTCGTTAGTTAGTACACGATAACAAGACAGTACAATGGTATATCTAGCTGGAGATTCTTTATCTTCCCTGGGTGTCCCTGTTTTACCCACATTCATAAGCTTCTCGGTGTACCAAGAATTCATGATAAGACAACATTATTTGTCCAAGTAGTGTTTAAATTTAGCCACAAACATCATGTCATCAATATGGGGTGTTTCTCTGTATTTTCCCCCCATATCATTTCGTTTCTTCTTTTCTCTGTGCAGCTTCCAATCTCACATAGCTGTCATGACCCTTAAGATGTATCTTTGAAGGTGTAAATTAGCTATCAAATGTGCATTGTGGCCCTCAGCAGGATCAGAGCAGAGGGCGCTGTGAACTGAGGGTTGTCTTCTGCTTCGACAGGATGAAAGTCCCCTCAGGAGAGTGAGAGGAATGATGGAGAGCGTTATCACATGAGATAAACCTGTTGTCAGCCTATTAGGTACAGTTAGTGCAGTGCTTTTTGAAACCATAAAGACTCACCATCCGTAAATGCACACCACGATTCTGTTGATATCTTTTCTTGTGGTGTAACCATTTAGCGTCAGGTGGCTACAATTAACAACCAACAAATTTGTAAAATATTGGATGAGAAGAGCTACGTGACACGGGCTTCGAGAAGCTTTGAGAATTTGGTCGATTTTTCGTTATATTTTTTACATGTACGTAAAAGCAAAGGTATCACTGGAACTGGAGCAGTTGGTACTCAGCATACTGTTAAAATTCAACAGGACTGTTCAAACGTTTAATATTTAATCAGAATCCTTTCACGTTTAAACATGCACATATTTCAAACACTGCCTACAGAGACTTTTAAAAAATGGCTTTAAAATTTTCTATATATCGCTTAAATAAAGGAAACCTATCATCATTAAAATGTTTTTTAAATTTTTTTCACAGTTCTTTTTTCCTTTCTTCTTAACTCATCTTGAGTCACTATTTTTATTTACCTTGTTTTAATCATTGCCATTAAATTACTTTTACTAGTGTGTTTGTTTATAAATCTGTTATTGGTTGTCCATATGTTTGAAATAGAACGATAGCTCTTAACTGCCTAACCACAGGCATATGGATTTAGATCAAATATTTATATATTAGTCACAAAAATGCAGATTCTTGGTTTATCTGCAAAATGGTTTATTGACTGTGATGCTTCTCATGAACACCTCGAGCCAGCGTGTCCCCAGGTATTTTCAATAGGAGGAACAACGGGACTGAATGCTGACCAAGGAAGGTTTTGGATATGAGTCATCCTGAAAGGCTGGCGCTACTCTGACAGGAGGCATTGTCCTGCTGAAATAGCCACAGGACAGTGTGCAGCCACAAGAGTGGCACAGCTACAGCTTGGAGAACCTCATCTTGGTACCTCTGTCCAGTCAGGCTTGCCAGCAGTGCTGGCTTTCAGCCACCAGTCTGGCCTCAGTCGCCTTCAGTCAGTTGCAACATGGTGGCTTAACATAACAGTGTTGTAAATACTGGGTTTTTTTGTGGATTTTAAGACTAATTGTGTGATACTGTAGTAAATTCGTGTTTGGTAAACGTATTACCAACCCCTCCATGAACTAAAATCAACTGGAATAGGCTTTGACTATGTTAGGGTTTAAAGTGATGTTCTGAAAAATGGATTTAAAGCAAAGATTCAAAATGTGTTTCATACGTTTTTTTCTTCTTCGTCTTCGTTTTTTGGCTCATTTACATTGCTCGCAGCATTTATCTCAGCATACACCATTTCACAATGAAGTGAATGAATCAAAACACAAACGTGCCAGTGTAGCAGTCTTTTTTCTTAATGTTAAATGGTTCAAAATTACTTTTGTTGTGAAAGCTATGGAACGGGTTTGCAAATAAAATGTACATTAAAATGGGCAGCTCTGTTTTTCCACTTCCACCCATATTTTTAATTATGTTGTAAATGTAATCCTTTAGTTTAGTCTGTTAACATCTTTTTACAGCCCTTGGTATCGGATTCAGTTTTTAAAATGTGTAACGGATAAATATGTTGACACTTTTTGTTTTGTTTCTTATAATCATTTATAAGTTGTGTACTAGATGTCACAGAAAGTTTCTCTCTTCTGTATTTCAGGTGTTCAGAGGCAGATTATCCACTGTGTGGAAAAGACAACTGGGATAGTTGAGGAGCACTTCTGTGACCACTTAACCCGACTTGACCACAACCAAACCAGCTGTAATAAGGATCCTTGTCCAGCCATGTGAGTTGGGTTTTTTTGTCTCCCAGTTTTACAAAAGGACACGTGCAGTGTTGGTACTTTAACCCTCGCACACACAAAAAATTCTGCGTGCTCTACAATCATCAAACAATCAAAGCTGCCAAACCTAAAGTTACAGCAAGTTTAATATTATTCTACAGAATAAATTTCCATGTTGTAACAGTTTTTAATTAACTCAAAAATTGCAGTTTGACATTTATTTTAATTTACTTTTTCAAGCCTCTGAAGACAAATTGTTTTTTATGTGTTTTCTTTTTTCAAAAAAATTACCTTTTGACTTTTTTTTAATTGGACAAGACAAGAGAAGTGAAATAGCCAGCAGGCATTTTTACTTCCATGCATTTTACACCACCAAAGTACAGCCTATCATCTTGTTTTAAGAGCCCAGTGTCTTCTTGGAAAAGGATGTTTGGCCAGTGGATCAACCCTTCTCTATGGAGGCTGCAGGAGTGCCATTGTTTACGCTTTTGTGGGATGTTACAGTTGATGTTCAAAAGACAGTGCTTGAATTATGATCCATCCATCCATTCGCTTCCGCTTATCCTTTTCAAGGTTGCGGGGGGCGCTGGAGCCTATCCCAGCTGTCATAGGGCGAAAGGCGGGGTACACCCTGGACAGGTCACCAGTCTGTCGCAGGGCTAACACATAGGGACAGACAACCATTCACTCGCACATTCACACCTAGTGACAATTTAGATTAATCAATTAACCTATCCCCACAAGCTGCATGTCTTTGGACGGTGGGAGGAAGCCGGAGTACCCGGAGAGAACCCACGCAAACACGGGGAGAACATGCAAACTCCACACAGAAAGACCCCGGCCTGATGGTGGAATTGAACTCAGGACCTTCTTGCTGTGCGGCAACAGTGCTAACCACCGTGCCACCGTGCTGCTTGAATTATGAATAACAAAAAAATTTTTTGCAGAAATAATTAATCATTTATTTGTTTGTTTGTTTGTTTCAGTTCATGTGGAGAGTCTAAGGAGCTTGAAAAGAAGGCGTCCTTAAAGACATTTCACCTCTAATCCAAGAAGCTTCTTCGGATGAGAGGTGAACCAACTTCAAGGACCAGACGCCTTCTTTCCAAGCTCCTTAGACTACAATGACCTGGATGACAGAGAACCTTCACAGACATATTCATGTGGAGATGATTTTTTTCTATATTTAGTAATGTTTAGATTTTTTTACAAAGACAAAGTTTGCCACTTTTAGTTTTCTGTGAGGAAACTTTGGAGTTGCATAAGGAAAAAGGTCCGATGTAAAACAAATAAAATAAAATAAATCTACACAAATCAAATATGCAGAGCTCCCTGCTGTTGCCATGCTTTGTTAAAAAGTGAGTGAAAAATATCTTCTTTATTTCTCTGTTAGATGTAAAACATGCCAGTAAAGATTTTGCATGTAGAAACTCTATAACAGTTTTTTTAGAGAATATTTATTTCCAGTGTCGATGGTAATCTATAAAAGTCAATTACAACAGACACACATCAAATACAGGCAGCGAGGTTTATATTCATAATGGATGGATGGATACATTCTCACTGTAAAAAAATCAGCAATATAAAGGGTAAAAATACTGTTATGTATGCATAGCCTTTTTTTGCTTGAAACTAAATGTCAAACATAACTTTGAAAAACAAAAAGAAAAAAAAATACAATGAATGCTCACTACATTGCTGCATGATAATTAAAAAAAAATATGTATGTACGTACGTACATACGTACAGCCATCTAAAACCACCAAGACTCATCTTTATTGTCACAGTCATTAAATACACTCTTATTCTACACAAAGCATAGCATTGCATTTGAAATCAGTGTAATCTTTGTGTCTTGTTGTGTAGATGGTGGGTTGGGGAGTGGCAGAAATGCTCAGCGAGCTGTGGGAGCTCAGGCCAAACTAAGAGGACAGTTCTTTGCATTCAAGCATTAAGTGCGGAGGAGCAGAAAGCCCTGGAGCCCAGTAACTGTGAACACATCCCCAAACCTGAGTCACTATCCTCCTGCAACACACACATCCCCTGCCCAGCAGACTGGATCACTGGCAGCTGGTCAAAGGTGAGTGTGGGTCAGAATCTGAGGTTCAGGTGTAACCAGACAGCAACCTTCACATTTGGGGAAAATGAATTATTTACTAATCGTGGAGAAAGTTTTCTAGTTTTTTCTATTTTGAAAGCATTCATTCACACAGAAAATTTTCACATCTCAAGCTTTTTGAAGTATAATTCAGTTGTTTTACACATTTAGTGTTACTGATCATTTAAGACACTGCTGGTTGCTTAAATGTCTTTTGTGTAACTATTCTCTGACTCTATTACACATAGACACAGTGTGGAATAAGGCAAGAAGCCAGATTTAAGGGTGTTTAAATGTGAGCATTTATACCCTGACCTCTCCCTATTCTCAGCATTTCTCTGTACTTTTTTTTTTTGCCAGGCCTTTTTGAATGGATATATGAAAATCTTTTGTCCAGACCAAATTGTTTCTCCACAGCTGTTTGAAGGATGACCATAAATGTATGGTTTAGATAGTCATCTCCTTCAGTCTTAACTGCTCAGCCTGTTTGTGACAAGGACTAGTTGAGAAAGATATAGCATTAAGTGAAGGTATGGCTGATGCCCTTCCCCACACAGCACCAATCTTAACACCTCCTTAGCCTTCCTCAGCTACCTCCATTTCAGAACTCCCTGCTGTCCATCCTCCTCTCAGATTAACCTGCCTAGACACATGGCTGTCATGACTGGTGAGGTGACAGCTGGATCATCTACACTAAGTCTAGACCCCTGATCTCATCAGTCCTAAGGTCCTGAAGTCCTGTGCTGCCCAGCTGTCCTGGAACAGCTCTTAAACCTGAGCTTGATGCGGGTACCAGCGCTATGGAAGACATCATCATATTGTTTTCCAACAGAGCTTTACACATTTTATAGTCTTTGTTATGTTTTTTAAGCACATTGTAAATCTACAGAGCTGTTGCATGGCTTAATAATGCTTTGGTCTTTTCTTTTTTTTCCCCCTCTTACAGTGTTCACTGTCTTGTGGAAGTGGAGTACGTCACCGTAATGTTACCTGCTCTAGAAACACAGGGGTTGATTGTGACCCCCAAAAGAAACCTTTAGCTGTTAGTACCTGCTACATCCAGGAATGTCCACAGATTGTCGATAATTTTGGAGGTTTCGACTGGTCTGGAAGTGGCTGGTCCAGCAAAGAAGTGCTTAATGAAATAAACCCCATACCCGAAGTCAAACCTCCTGCCAAGTACAGCACCACCAGAGAGCAGCCAAGAGTTCATAATGACCTTAATGACATCGTTGAGGGAGATTTCCACTACCACAACAACATTGAAAATACTGATCACTCTCAGGACAACTATGTCCCGGTGGATGATTTTTACTATGACTATAACTTTATCAACTTCCATGAAGACTTGTCAGATGACTTTGAGAGCAATGGAAACATTTCAGTCAGTCACGGTTTGAGTGTTTCGCAGGAGGTCGAGCCAACCCACAGTGTAAAAGAAGATGCTCACAGAGAAATTGCAGCCACTCCCACAGCTACTTCAGCCGTTCCAAAGCCCACTGCCTACACTTTGGAAACAGAAAATCCTCAGAACACAAAAGTGAACGTAACAAAGGACAGTAAAAATGCAGCGGCAAAAGAGGTTTTGCAAACAAATTCTGAAAACTTGGATGACTATCTTTCTGAGGATTTTCTTCTGCCTGTGTCGACCACTCACTCTCCACTACTGTCTACAACTCAGCAATCAAAACCAGCGGCAGAGAAGCATGGCATTCTGTGGCTGCCTGAAAACATTAGTGCAGTGCCTAGTCTGGGTTCCACTACAAAGCAGCCTTTACAGGATGTGAAATGGGGGCAATATGCAGAGGAGGCTGAAAATAACTATGACAGCTTCAGTGAGGAGGAAAATCACACTGAGGATGTCACTATGACTCCAAAGCAGACTGTTTCTACTCCGAGACAACAAACAGCTATCAATACTCCTGACTCTACTGTTGAAGGGGCTCAGGAAACAAAGGAATATGATAATTATGACTATATCTCTGCAGACCAAGATAATGTCGAGAGTCCAGAACCTTCAGGTCCCCCCACATCAGAAACTACAATTCAGATTAAGACTGAATTTCCTCTGGATGAAAATACTGCAGAAATACCTCAAGCCAGTGGGTCAACATTATTTTCAAATGCCTTCACAATGGATGATGTCAACACGGATCAGACTAATTTTGATACATTATATGCCACTACCGAGAATTATTCACGGGATACCGACAGAGACCTCAGCACAACCTCACTTCCTGCCTCTGAGAAATCCATTCCTCCCCCTGTTTCCTCTTTGCTCATCTCAGGTAACCAAGAGGCCTCCACATCATTAACTGGAACAGCAATCATACCTCCTACTCAGTTTTCTCCAGCTGATTTCCCAACGCATATGATGAAACCGATTCCGTCAAAGCCAGAGTTCACTAAAACAACTGGAACGTATCCCACATCTCAAGCTCCGTTGTTTGATGTAGTGAATTATGACTACAACGAAATAGCCTTTCCACCCGTGGTGAGGAGCGGCATTAACAGTGATCCTGGCTCTTCATACCAGGTTTCAATAAACTCAGGAGCCACTCCTCAACACAGCACAACATCAGCACAAGACTTGGAGTCGCCCACACCTGCTGTGGCCTTTTTGCCAACCGTTCCAGCTGTCCTAACATCTGTCCAAACTTACGTCCACACACAAAACACTGCAGCTGCCTACTGGATTGCTGGCAACTGGAGTGCTGTACGTATGAAATAATTTACACATTACACCTGCTTTTATTTTCCAGGCAAATAAAAAAACACAAAATAAAAGCATTATCTTCATTCTTTAGGGACAGGATTTGAGCTAGGGTTAACACAGCAAGCGTCAACGTACATAATAAACTGCTTTAATACCGAAAACATCTCTAAATTTCAAATGTGTTCTTATCCACAAGCTTTTCTTGTGCGTGCTGGTTTTCTTTGTGCATCCAGCCTCAAATTGTGCAGCACAAAATGATTCTAATATGAGTTATTATGTTTACGAGCAGTGCTCCACCACCTGTGGACTCGGTGCTATCTGGAGAACTTTGACTTGCAGTACTGGATCACAGTCGGACTGTGATCCCGCAAAGAGGCCCGCACCTGCCCAGAGGTGTTACCTGCGCCCATGCTCTACATGGAAAATTGGGGAATGGAGTAAGGTGAGACTACTTGTTTTATATATCATATATATGTATATATCATATACAAATCAAAAGTTAAATAAATAAAACTGTAATACGGTGGACTTTTCTATTTACTATTTTTTATTACGGCAGGATTTTAGGCAACGGTGATTTGTCTACGACTTTGGTCTAGACTGAACTCTAATATCTCCGACTGGATTTGCAAGTCAAAGCTTTGTGTCTGATATTCTAGTTCAAAGTTGGACAACAGCTTGGTGTAATAAATGTGGGCATGTTGGCATTTTGATGTTTTGTTTGCATTGAGCTCAGTGTCGTGTTTACTCAGCCTCATGCAGACTCTGACGTGGCTGTAGACTTATTTTTTTGCAGTCGTATTTTATAGTTTTTCAATAACAAACAAACAAACCGATGCAATGTTCCCCACCCCCTGGGATTACAGATACACGATGGAAAGAAAAAGAAAACAGCTTTGATATAATACATGGAGGTGGATATGAATAAGATAAAGCTAGTATACATTTATGGAAGGAATAAACATCATTGCATTGTGATTTGCCGCCTTTTCTTTTTTTACACATTCCATGAAAAGTCACAGAAAGCGTTTCTTTCATCCACATGTTGAAAGATGGAGGTTTGTCAGAGAGAAAATGTTTTCAGGCCAATAAAGATGCAAAAGCGATTGTTTTTGGTTGTGCTGCAGGAACCATGAGCTCTAAAAAAAGAGACCTTGAAAATGAAGATGTATGTACAGTGTTATTTTTTTCTGCACAAAAATGACAGGGCTTTGAAAGAAAATCTTCAAAAATTCCAAAGTCCCAAAACATATGAGCTACAGTAGCTGGAGCTTCGTGGCAATGTAAACATGCTGGGGTACCATTAGGATATGTTTTTTTACAAGTTTCACCGTTGACCAGTGCAAATGATGTACCAATTTAAACTGAATCGGACTTTGTTTAATGCAAAGAGAAATATGAAAACATTCCCCGGGGAGGTCAGTGTTAGATCCTATTGCCATGGCACCTTTGTTTTTCCCCATGAGGATGGATTCATACTCTCAATCTTAGTGCAGACTTTAGACATATTACCTTTTCATAGAAGTAAACCAAGTTTTTCATCTATATCATTACTGGCTGTTAGATATTGGAGCCTGAAATGCTTACTAAGAAAACTGCTAATTTATAAAATATTTATAAAAAAACAATTCATAAATAAATCTGCCTCAAGTAAACACGAGTGTTCATTTTACAAAAAGATTTCTTAAAAAAGAGCTAGACCATTGTTTCTGTGCCCAATTCAATTCAATTCAATTGTATTTATATTTCGCCAAATCACAACAACAGTCGCCTCAAGGCACTTTATATTGTAAGGTAGACCCTACAATAATACATACAGAGACAGTTTGACTCTGTTGTAATGGGGTAGAAGAGAGAAGACAGAAGAAAGACCAATGCATGTATACTTATGGGTCGTCTGTCCAACCCAATAAGCTAAACCAGCACTAGAGAAACGAGTGATGTGAAAATATTTTTGCAATGGACCTGTTCCATACAACGGAAGAAATCGAGTTGTGTAGTTCTGTAAACGCAGATTTGGGTAAGAAAACGAGCACCATATGGAAATGGTACAAAAGGCAGAAGAAAACCATCATTTTGTTTGTGTTAAATCTTCTTGTTTCCAGCTCTCTGTGTAAAACTGAGAGTGATAGGTTAAAGTTGTACCTTTTTGGACAGGTTGGGCAATGAGAAGAAAGTTGTGCTTGTTTAAAGATTTCATGGATTAATACACTTCTGATCATCTGGTTTAAGTTATACTAAATTAAAGGCAACAAGAATTGCTGGTAATCCATTTTTAAAGCCATCCATTGACTAACCTGACTAGATACCAGCTTTCTGGGGTGGAAAAAACACATTAAAATCACATTGCAAATAAGCTTCTTTATATTCATGGGTTACCCTAATGAAGGCTACAAGCTAATAAAGAGCAAGACAATAAAGCTGCCCTTTATACTGAAAGTGTTGCTGATGATTCATCCTCTTTAGACTTTCTGCTCTTTGCAGACCTTGGAAGTAAGTGAAGTTGTGCCTTTTCTGCCTTCACTAAGGTGTGAAGCTGATTTCTAACAACAAGTCCGCATCCAGGAGTCAGCTGGTATGTTTTAAGTGTTTACTGTCAGAAGCACTGTGATACAGAAAGAAAAAAACAACACGTTATATTTATGATGTCATTGACTTGCTTTTACAATATCAAACACTGAGTCATTAAACTTCATGCACATCTCACCTAAACACAAAACATATCCCGAAAACTTTACTGAATATTTGCCCCAGGTATCTAGCAGTTAGCTCAAGGCTAACATTACATTGAAAATGGGCTAACACGCTGAAATTGCAGCCGTTTCTCAACTGTTACACAAAACTATTACTGGTAAGCTCAACACAACACATAGTTACTGCTTACTGGCATGTGCTCTTTCAGGCACAACAGAAAAAAGATGAACAAAAAGTGGAAAAGACAACAGTTTGGCTTAAAGGCCTTTAAATGTAGAGAAACTGCAGCAAGTCTGCTGGTACAAAAAACACGTGGTCAAATTCGCATGTGCCAGAAGACTACTCTGTCTCTAATTGTTGGGCCATGTGTTTTCACAGTGCTCCAAGAATTGTGAAGGCGGCATTAAACTGCGGGAGGTTCAGTGCTTTGACCTGAGGGACCAAAGACCCCTTCGACCTTTCCACTGCCGAGCCATGTCCTCCAGGCCCCAAACAACGATGCCCTGTAACCTTCAGCCATGTCTTGAATGGTACACCTCCTCCTGGGGTCAGGTCAGTAATATAAAACAAAGGGTTAGTGACTTTGTGATGAAAAGCAGTTCTGTATACACAGATAAAATTTCTCAATTCAATAAAATTGAAGGCAATGCAACATTAGATTTTATCATTGTAGTGGAAAAAAGAAAAAATCTGAAAGAGTCAGGTGGTAGACACACTGTGTTTGTCTATAATTGCCTGCACTCAAGAATATGACTTTGGCTGCAGGGTTAAAGACAAAGACTTTGTTCTTTTAAGTGGTTTACCTGATAATCTTTACGTAACAAAAATGGTCACAGTTAATGGCTTATCAATGTCGAAGAAGCCTCCACAATTAAATTTTTATCAAATCAATTTTAAAAAATTAGCTTCTTGGAAAGTTTAGAGGGAAAAAAGGGCATTAAATGTCATCTGTAGTAACTCCTTGTTGAATTTAAATTTCTTCTTGCGTCTAAGCTTTGCAGTCATCTCAGTCAAGGCTGTAAGGCTTTACACTTGTTAAGGTTCAAAATTGAGGAAGGAGAGTACAAACCACCCTTGGTCCAGAGGATCTTGGTCAAACAATGATTTTTAATGAACACACGTGTGGGAAGACAACTCTGTACGCCGACAGCAAGTAGTCTTCAACTTAATCAAAGCATGAACAGATATTTTATAGCATCAGGGTTTGATTTACTGACGCCCCTTCATGCGTCACAGATACATTTTATACATAGATCAGATCAACACCACAATGACTTTTAACCCAGAAGATCATCTTCTGTTTTCATGGCTGGTACTTTCCGTTCTTGTCTTAAAGTGAATTGTTCCTCCTTCTTGCCGAGACATGACTAATCTCTCCTCTAAATAAATCTAACTCATGTGTGTGTGTGTTGACCTCACATGCTCTTTGTGTCACCTCTTCACCTACTAACTGTCTGTGTCTCGTCCTCAAATGCTCTTTCTCAATTCACCTGTTGCACTTCTGACCTTTCACCAGACCAGAGGCTCACTAAGACTATGTGTATGTCTTCTACTAAATAAATGTTTTAACCAAGAACTTCTACTAAAACCTTAATATGAAATGACCTGATATATAAGTGTTTTGTAAGCATGTACTGCAATTCCTTCTATGGCTCCAAGTCACTTGCACAATAGATTGTCCGGACATCGCGCCGAACAAAGCTTCCAACCCCCAATTAATTGACCGAGCTCCAACTCTTTAATAAGCACAGATATGCATTGTGTATAAAATAGTCATAACTGCACCTGAAATACAAGGTCAACATAATAACTGTATGCATAACATCTTAAGGCCTTTCTTAAAGCTATCTGTTACATTGTTAAAGCCTCGTCTTAGCCTGCTGCTCAAAATAACTTTCACTTCTGCAAAACTCTCCAAGCCTGTTTCCTGTCCTGTTACTTTTAGCCTTTCTGAAAGACACACTGTTTAAACCTCTAAACGCAATATAAACTCCAGATTATATTATTAATGCAATGGTAATGATGACAATTATTTAACAATAGCAGTAAAATAATTTCCCTGCTCCACACACTTCAAAGTATAAGAGCAGAGCTTCTATTACTTGTACAATATGGCCATGCTCCTCAATATAGTTGACAGATAATAGAGGTGCGTCCACATGGCTGTCATGATTTGGTGTAGGTGTGTTGTGCCAGTAACACAGCCGTGATGTTTTATTTTCTTTTAACAATGCTATGAAAGGCTGTGGTTACACATCTAGATGCTGAAAACCAAAGAGCCTTATAGGTGTCAGGCTGTGGCGTATTTATGGAATCTATTTTCAATTTTTACTTAAGCCATCAAATTATTTTTGTTGTACTCGGTGTTTTTGATGGGGGGGATTACTGTTCTTTTTTAAAATTCGGTGCTGTGTTTTGTGGATTTTTCAACATCCCCTTGGATTTGTTTAATGTCTGAAATCCACAGAATCAATCAGTCAACCTAAACACTGAGATTTACAGCCTCCATGTGTTTGCTGTTGTGCTCTGGGTTGTTCAGTGCTCTGAGGTGTGCGGAGGAGGTCAGCAGCAGCGTATCGTCACCTGTCCAGAGGAGGATCAATGCGACAGAGACCACGAGCCCAGCACCATCCAGTCATGTAATAGCCATCCTTGTGCTCAGTGGCTTACCGGATCATGGGGACAGGTACTACGAAGGCATTGTTGATTGCATTTAAAAACCAAAATCACGAGAACATCCCTGTCGTTGATGAAGCATTATTGCTTGAGGTACGAAAGGATCATGATTAACTCTCATAGAAGGCTACAAAATAATTTGATGTCCATCCTGCTATCATGGATATTTCATACTTCATTTCATACAGCGTTTTTTTGTTTTTTTTCCTGAAGTAGAAATCCTTAAACAAAAATTGCAATCCTATAAAAGAGTTCATTGCAGACTATTCACGGTGTATTGCCAATGTAACCTGGTCACACGACCAGAATCTTTCAGGGGATTTCATGAGACACCCACATGAGCACAAGTGTTTGAGTAGAGTTTAGGGAGAATCAGTAAGGTCAGAATCAGTCAATCGGGGCCAATCAGGAGCGCTGAGGCAGTGTAGCCTCTCAGATTCACCTTTTAGATTGAGAATGTCAAAAATATACTATCCTCCTAACTGACAGCTGAAGCAGTTCTGCACGTCTTGTAATAGTCTAACTGGTGTCAGTTGAAATGTGGCCCTTAATTGTCAATCATAAACTCGGAGAAGAGTTTGGGGAACACTGATATTATTGTACAAGATAAACGTTGTTTTACTTGCCTTTAAAACACATTAAAATTGTTTCCCTTTCTTCTTGCAGTGTTCAACTTCTTGCGGAGTTGGAGTGCAGCATCGACTTATTAAATGTGTTGACACCAGGGCTGAGACAGATGGAGAAGTTGATCAAGCTCAATGTCACCACGAGCCACCGCCTGAGAGCACCCGAAAGTGTAACACGCAAGAGTGTGAGAGCGTACAGCCTGGTGAGTACGTTCAAAAGGAAAAAATATGGTTATTTGGTTAAATATTTCCCCAATTCCACAAAAGTTGGGACGCTGTAAAAAATGTAAATAAAAGCCGAATCTTATATGTTGTCCACAGTACAACATATAAAACAGTCAGTGTTTAAATTAAGAAGATGTGCCATTTTAAGCATCTCCCCTCAGTCGGTAAACATCTGGGAGCTGTGGAGACCAGCTGCTGGAGTTTTGGAGATGAATGTTGGTCCACTCTTGTTTGATAGAGGATTCTTGCTGCTAAACAGTCCCGTGTCTTCTTTGTCGTATTATTTGTATCATGATGCTCCGAATCTGGAGTCTTCTGCTGCCAAGCCGTGCCACGATAGCTGCAGCAGGCACTTTTGTTTAGCTTTGTCTAGCTTAAACGCACACAGCCTTCCCTGGAAAAAGACATTATGGAGGATATTTTCCTCTAAAGCCGTTATATACCTTTTAGCACTGATGGCCCTTTTGTAAACTGCAAATGTCATAGGGACTGTTGCCTGAGAACAAGCCAGATGGTCTCTTTCCATCCATGTTTTCAGAATTTAAAAAAGTGTAAAAACATAAAAATAACTAATGACAGAATGGTTTTCTAGAGAAGACAACAGCATTTCTGGATTGTGTTCACCTTTGGCTGCTTGTCTGCACAATAAAGGTTTAACCTGCATAGTGAACCCTGTTGGGATATATTACTGCCAAATTCAAAATGAGCTGAAATTATGTATGAAATAGTAAAATGTCTCACTTTAACCATGTTTTCGATTGTGATTAAAATTTGCTCTCAGGAGGTTTCCAAATCATCCATTTGTTGCCATTTACATTTTACACGGTGCCCCAACTATTTTGGAATTAAGTGTTGCATAATGTGTGTTTATGTTTATTATAATGATTATCCAGCTAATCCTCTATTTATGTAACACACTAACAGAATTATTGTGGTAATCAATGATTACGAAGAGCACTTAAAGACTGTTGCGCGCCTGTTGCAGACGGTTCAATTAAAAAGATTAAATTAAAAAGATTGTGAGGATTAACAGATTTATATTTTGCTGCTGCCAGCAAGTGTAGTTGTTCTCACTAAGACAGGATTTTTTTTTAAACCTTCCCTAAATATTATATGTCAGTGTTAATTCAATTTTAAGCCTGTTTGAGCTGATTAATGCCCTGTCAGGGTGCTGGAGTACAGAGCAGGAACATCAAATCTCAGCTCCTTTTTTTTATTAGCATAGTACTGGTTTATTGAGTAGTGCACGTGATTACAGCATATCAAACTAAAACCAGTGACTCATTGTGTGCTAGCTAACATGAAGTGGAGAAAACCTAATGATACTACACTTTAAATGTTGACTTATGATATTTTTTTAAATATGACATTAAAGGATGTTATTGTAAACAATGATTAGGATCACTAAGGAAACATAAAAGCAACAAAGCTTCAGTCATGACCTTTTTAAACAGATGATATTGAAGGAAATACTGAAGATGATGAACAAAAGAAATATTAACTAAGAATGATCAAAACACACTGCCAATGCCCTGCAGCCATTAAATATCTTTGTGTGATCGGCTCCAGTCCCGAGCTAATCTGATATTTTAAATAAGTAGAGGAAACTGATTAAGAAGCAGATGTGGGTTATTTTTTGGTGTGTTTCCTTTTGTGTTTGATAGCAAATAATTGGTTCTAAACATGTTAAATTACTCAAAATGTCATATTATGAATTTTTTTAAAAGCGCTCCAAAGCAACGATTCTCTTGTTCCAGCTGAACCAATCAGCTTTTTTACAGTAGTTGCACGCCAAATGGCAAAATGTAGGTCTGCGTCATGTATTGTGACAGAACAAACTCATATGCAACACGTGATCAGACAGAAATAATGTGTAATTTACATGAAATTCAAATCTAGCATCCACCACTGCTTCTTCTTCTGGGTGTGAGGGTACTGGTTAAAATGGCAATTACGTGGAGCTTCAGCATGAGTTAAGATTGTAATTCCGACATAATCTCCAGTGACATTAAGGCGGAACAAAATGCATAAGGGGTTAAAAGAAAACAAACCCAGTGATGTGGGTGACTTAGTTTTATGTGATGTCTGTTTCTCGCAGTTGAGCCTTGCGTGGCTAGATAGCTGGCTCAATTTCCCACCTGTATTGTGCCATCAAAATAGTGATGAAAATAATAATAAAATTCAATTACAATTGTTATTTATAGTACAAAATAATATAAGATAAGATAAGATAACCTTTATTAGTCCCACACGTGGGAAATTTGTTTTGTCACAGCAGGAAGTGGACAGTGCAAAAGTTATGAGGCAAAAACTAGAATACAACAAGAATAAATACAGTACACAACTGTACAGAATAGAATAAAATAAAATACTATACACAGTAGAATAAAATAAAATAAATATACAATAAGATAAAAATAGAATACAAATACTATATACAACTGAGTAAAAATACAACGATGACAGAAAGGATTATTGCACTTAGTATTATTGCATATGTATGGATGTGTGTGCTTGATCAGTTAAAGTCTTTATTATGGAGTCTGACAGCAGTGGGGAGGAAAGACCTGCGAAATCTCTCCGTCCCACACCGTGGGTGCCGCAGTCTCCCACTGAAGGAGCTGCTCAGTGCTGTCACAGTCTGCTGCATGGGGTGGGAGATGTTGTCCATCAGGGATGACAGCTTAGCCGCCGTTCTCCTGTCACTCACCACCTCCACTGGGTCCAGAGGGCATCCTAGAACAGAGCTGGCCCTTCGGATCACCCTGTTCAGTCTCTTCCTGTCCCCAGCAGAGATGCTGCCGCCCCAGCAGACCACGCCATAAAAGATAGCAGAAGCCACAACAGAGTCATAGAATTTCTTCAGGAGTGGGCCCTCCACTCCAAACGACCTGAGTCTCCGCAGCAGGTACAGCCTGCTCTGCCCTTTCCTGTAGAGGGCGTCTGAGTTATGAGTCCAGTCCAGTCTATTGTTCAGATGAACACCAAGGTACCTGTAGCTGTCCACAGCCTCAATGTCCATACCTTGGATGTTCAGTGGTTGCAGTGGAGAATGCTTGTGCCTGCCGAAGTCTACCACCAGTTCCTTGGTTTTACTGGCGTTGATCTGGAGGTAGTTCAGCTGGCACCAGTCCACAAAGTCTTGGGTCAGACCTCTGTACTCCTTGTCGTCCCCATCAGTGATGAGGCCGACTATTGCAGAGTCATCAGAGAACTTCTGCAGGAAGCACTGGGTGGAATTGTGGGAGAAGTCTGCAGTGTAGATGGTGAAGAGGAACGGAGCCAGAACCGTTCCCTGTGGGGCCCCCGTACTGCAGACGACCCTGTCCGACACACAGCCCTGAGTCCTCACATACTGTGGTCGGTCACCTCACCTCACTCCTCACTGGAGTGGACCATCACCTCACTACCTGGATCCTGGACTACCTCAAGTCCAGGATCCAGGTAGTGAGGTGATGGTCCACTCCAGAGTTCACCAGCTTGTCCTTTAGAACCGAGGGAAGAATGGTGTTGAAGGCACTGGAGAAATCAAAGAACATGATTCTCACAGTGCTTCCAGCGGTCTCCAGGTGAGCGAGGGAACGATGTAGGAGGTGAATGACGGCATCATCCGCTCCAATGCCAGGCTGGTAGGCAAACTGAAGTGGGTCCAGTGATGAGCTTATTAGGCGCCGAAGCTGAGCCAGGACCAACCGCTCCAGGGTCTTCATCAGGTGGGATGTCAGAGCCACCGGCCTGTAGCTGTTGAGGTCCTTGGGGCGTGAAGTCTTTGGCACTGGTACAACACAGGAGGTTTTCCAGAGCTGTGGGACTCTTCCCAACCTCAGGCTCAAGTTGAAGAGGTGCTCCATCACCCCACACAGTTGGTCCGCGCAGGACCTGACGACCCTCGAGCTGATGCCATCTGGACCCGCTGCCTTCTTGCCATTAATCCTCCTCAGTTCCCTCCTAACCTGGGTGGTTGAGAGAGACAGGCTGGAGCCTTGTGTTGAGTGTGTATTGGATGCTGTTGTTGGGGGTGGGGGGGAGTGAGCAGGGTGAATAGAGGAGGTGTGAAGTGTCTGAGGTGGAACAGCAGCAGTGGGGGTGGGTGAGTCTGCAGCCGATGTTGCAGACTGCCTCATGGCTGAGTCAAATCTGTTGAAGAAATGATTCAGTTCATTTGCCCATCTCACATCCCTCCCAGGCAGAGAGTTCTGCTGTTTGTGGCCCGAGATGGTTCTGAGGCCTCTCCAGACTTCACCAACGTTGTTTTGTTGAAGCTGGTTCTCCATCTTCTGCCTATAGCTCTCCTTCCCATTCCTTATCAGTCCCCTCAGCTCTCTCTGCACCCTTTTCAACTCCTCTTTGTCTCTGGATTTGAAGGCCCTCCTCTTCTGCTTGAGGACGGTTTTAATTTCTGGGGTAATCCAAGGTTTGTTGTTGGAGAAACACCGTACAGTCCTGGTAGGTACAGTGTTATCCACACAGAAGTTTATATAGTCAGTAATGCATGTAGTAAGGCTGTCGATGTCCTCACCGTGGTCATCACAAATCACCTCCCACACAGTCGACTCAAAACAATCCTTAAGAGCCTCCTCGCTCTCCTCTGACCATCTCTGTACTGTGCGGGTGGCTGGTGGCTCCCTGCGCACTAAGGGCTCATACACAGGGACAAGGTGCACCAGGTTGTGATCAGATCTGCCCAGGGGAGGGAGAGGTGATGAACTGTATGCCTCTTCTGCATTGGCATACAGTAAGTCCAGTGTTTTATTGACTCTGGTTGGGCAGGTCACAGGCAGGCACAGGTCAGCAATTTCCCCACGGGGCTCAATAAAGTACAATAATGTACACACTTTCTTCTTTCTTCTTCTTCTTCTATACTGGGTGAAGGTGGGCAGTGTGGAGTCCAGTGAGGCATGATTGAAGTCCCCTGATATTATGAGAAGGGCTCTCGGTGATTGTGTTTGCAGTCTGCTGACCACAGAGTGGAGAGAGT